CCGCCGGCGCGGAGGGGCCGGCGGACGGTCGCTGCCAGGAGCCTGAGCCGCCGCCCTCGAACCGCGCAGGCGCGGTGCTCTGAGACTGTCCACTGGGCAGGCCCCGCCCAGGGCCCGGCGACCCGCGCAGGCGCAGTCTATGAGCGCCCGGCTTCCCGCCGAACCACCGCCCTCATCTTGCGCAGGCGCGATGCGCACAGACCGCCCACAGAAACAGTCCAGCCCTGGGACGGCGCACTGCGCAGGCGCACTTAGTGGACTGTAGCTCCTGCCCGGCACGAGCGCCTCCTGGTGTCCGGGCTGGGCCTCGACGTTCCGGGCGGGGCAGGTGGGAGGGACCCCGGCGGGCTCCGGGTGGGGTCCCTGGCCGTCCTGGCCTGGGGCCAGGAACCCACGAAGGGCGACAAAACGGCTGAGATTCCTGGCGGGGGACCCCGTTTGTCGTGTTTTTCTTGTGAGAATTCGGTTGACCTTCCCATCCAAGCTGCGAAGTAGGAGCCGTTTGTCATTCTTTCCTCCTGACAAAGGGACGCAGAGTGACCGAACTTCTGTGCGGCCAAGAGGGAGTTCGGGGTTGCACGGCGGCCTCGGTGGGCGCGGCCGGGACTCGCGCTCCCGCGCTCCGCGGGGACGAGGTGAACTTGCCACAGCTCGAAATCACAGCAGCAAACGCAGGTTAAGGACTTTAACTGGCTTTTTAAGTCAGTGACTCTACTCCCGCGCTCCGCGGGGACGAGGTGAACTTGCCACAGCTCGAAATCACAGCAGCAAACGCAAGTTAAAGACTTTAACTGGCTTTTTAAATCAGTGACTCTAGAATTGGGCAACACCTCATTCTATAAAACAATGAATATTTGAGTGAGCAGAGGAGTTTGGTTTTATAGGAAGAAAAGGGCTAAGGAAAGCAGAAACAGAACAAAAAGCAGACTGCTCATTTTAAACTTAGCTTTCCCTGTAAAGTTAAAGCACAGGGGACTTCCTTACAAGGGCTAAAAGTGGCCTGCTGGGGGATTTGGCTATTTCTCTCTCCTGATTTCTCGGAAGGTCATATATAATCAACGTAGTTCCGTCTTGGCGACATTTAATGAGTGACTGCATTTTGGTTTGGTCATTGGGCCTAGTGCAGGATGCTCAGTCCAAACCAATAACCTCCTATGAATTCTATTTAACAACCTGAAATGCCAGCCCCTCCTGGCACTCCGGCCGAGGCACACCCGCATACGGTGTTCTCCACCTGCAGATTCTGGGCTCTGGCTGAGGACTCAGCATAGTCCAGGCAGAGGAACTCCACTTCGGGCAAGCGAACCAGAGGAGCTTTGTGGCAACCATGATGGATTGGAAATGAGGAGAACCCCAAAGGCAAGAGCAGGACGTTGGCTAGTTCTGGGACAAACAGGCAAGGGCTGGGCCTGAAAGGCAAAGGAAAATTGCACAGTCTCCCAGCTGCAGACTACCTGCACAAACAACAGCCAGTGCTCCCTCAAGACAAAGTTCCATCAGATGAGAAGCTAAAGAGCTAAGCCAGAACCTCCAAAAGGCCAACAAACTGAGTCTCCTGCAGTCTTTCAGGGCCAAGGAAACTAGGTTCTCAACCAACAGCCCAAGAGCAACAGGCTGGAGGTTAGCAGAAGTAGACAAGTTTTGCTGGAACTGTTAACTCAGCACCACCCAACTCAGTCCCCAGCTGCCTTGAGGTAATCACCCCCTCAGGCACCCTGACTAATAGAGAAAAGGGGGTTCTTTTGGTGGTTAAAATGCCATCTGGAACTTGTGTGGGCCTTTTATGCATAAATCCAACATGCAATAAAAAGTTACTAGACACGTGAAGAGGCAGGAAAATATAAACCATAAGAGAAAAAAATTTAAGTAGAAATATAGATAACCCAGTTACTAAAATTAGCAGACAAGGACTTTAAAACAGTGAAAACTGATATATTCAAACTTTTTGAGGAAAAGCTGGACAAAATGTATACAAAATGTGAAATTCACGTAAAGAATAGGGATATAAAAATATTTTAAATCAAATGGACAACTTATAACCAATCATACAGTATCTGAAATGATAAATACATTGGATGTCTTTAACAGCAGATCCAACACAACAGAAGGCAGGAACAAAGAACCCAAAAACAGATCTAAATAATTTATCCAAACTGTAGCACAGAGAGAGGAAAAAAGAAAGAACTGAAAAACAAACAAAAAACCAGGATAGAGTGTAAGCAGAAGAGAGTGTAAGAGATTATGTGGGAAAGAGAAAGTGTAACATATATGTTATCAGACACCTAAAAGAGGTAAGAGAGATTGAAGCAAAAGCAATATTTAAAGAAAAAATAGTTGAGAATTGTCCTAAGTCTCATAATAGAGACAATATCACAAATTAAAAGATGAATGAGTAATTCTGCTGCATATGTGTCCTGCTTCCATTCAGCTATAACAACGTGGTATTAAAATTACTTGTTCCTGGGGGCTGACTGTTTAGCTCAGTTGATTAGAGCATAGTGCTGACAACACCAAGGTCCAGTGCTTGATCCCTGTAATGGACAGCAGCAAAAAAAAACCCCCCAAACCAAAAACCTGTTCCTGAATCTGTGACTAGACTGGATCATAGTAGGAGGGATTGAGCTTATTCAGCTCTTGACCTGCAGCACTTAGAACTTTTCCTGGTACCTTTAGCACTCAAGAATTATTTTCTAAAAATAAATAAAATCTTAATGGTCCTTCCCAAAGAAAAATTGTTCTAAAGATTAATAGTTTTTAACATATGTTATATGATGTAAAAAAACCTTTAAAGATAACTGCTTATATTATTAATAAATATATTTTATATTATTCTAAACTGTATATATATATATATATATATAATCTTTCATACATATATGAAAATACATGCAAAGAAAACCACACAGTCACATAGTAAAACTTTGAAAATCAAGAGTCAGTAAGAAAATCTCAAAAGCAGCCAAAAGTAAAAGATACATTACCTAAAATGATCAGCAGTAGGACATGGCTTACTTAGCAGCAGAAATTATGGGAACCAGAAGACAATAAAAAGCAGTCTTAAAAGTGCTGAAAAGAAACATTTGCTAATGATTAATTCTAAACCCAACAAAAGTATCCATTACAAACGAATTCAAAATAAATTCATTTGCAGATAAAATCTGAGAGAATCATGCACTAAAGCAATGCTAAAAGAAGTACTACAGACTGAAGTAAACTAATATAACTGCAGGAAGGAAAGAAGAGTATTAGAAAGTGTAAGTAAGTGGATAAATGTATTTTTAAAATTTTTCCTGACATTGACAATAATTATGACTTGTGAGGTTTATAATGTGTAGAGATAAAATATATGCTAAGAGACAAAATATATGCATAAAGAGCAAGGGGAATAAATGGAATTAACCTGTTGTAAGGTTCCACATCTTTATAGGGGAGTGGAAAAGTATCATAACTTCAGGTAGGTCAAGGGTGCCTATTAGAATCTCACAAAATATACAGTGATGTATGACTACAAACAAAATAGAAGATAATAGAAAAATAAAATATTAAATTAATAGAAAATAAAGTGGTAAAGGAGAACTAATGTGACAAAGAACAGACAGGACAAATAGAAGACAAATAGAAAGATGGTGGAATTAAACCCCACTACATATGTAAAAACATTAAATGTAAAGTAGTAAACATGACAATGTTTTTAAAATATGGATTGTTCTAGAGATTTAACTAAATTCTATTTATAAGAAGCATGCTTTAAATATAAAAAAAATTTAATTGAAAGTAAAAGTATAGGAAAAGCTATACCATACCATACCAATATTTTAAAAAGGAGACTTTAAGGCAAATAGTATTACTAGAAATAAGAGAATTATTTCATAATGATAAAAGGTAAATTTAATAGAAAAATATAGTAGTCCTAAATTTGTGTGTCTATTATAAAGCTTCAAAATATATAAAGCAAAAATTCAAAATTTAATATTTCTCAAAGGAGAAATAAA